CAGCCACTCTGAGGTGACTGCCACTCTCAGGGGACATTGTCACTGCCACCAGAAGAGGGGCTCTGGGGCCTCTTCTGACCAGGGCACAGTGGAGCAGCCACTGAGGACAGTCACACACCCCACAGAGGGCGGAAGCGAGGGCCTGGGGAGTGGGCCTCCTTGGACCGTCTGCTTCTCATCTGAACCCGAACCACTTCACCTCGTGGTTATTACAACTTTCCTTCTGTCCTCGGGTTTCTCTCAGACCCACTTAAAATGTAAATGAAACAAAACAAGAAACCCCGGACAACCTAGGAGACGAGAGACTTCTTAAAGTTCATCTACATTCTAACTCCTAAACCTTTACAATTCAGTTCACTCAGTGTATTGGAAGTTATCTGGAAATGTATACCTTAAAATGTAAATAAATGAATTCATTTATTGTGGAAGCCAAATTTTCCATAGCCATTTTAATTTTAATAATCTAACAAGGTTATTTAAGATCCGTAAACAGAAGTCAAAATAAGTATTATAGATTTAATAAATTAATGAAGGGGTGGCAGGAAATAGCTTTCTTTAAGGCTTCTCAATTTCAGAAAGTTTAGCTTGATAAGCACCTTGGGTGTGCGGAGCGCTCAGGGATTTAGAGCGCCGCCTATAGGCCATGAGGATAATGGCATCTATTTTAGGGCTTGTTTGGGTTCTGCGGTCCCAAGCGGACGCAGCCGGGCCTTCTGGGAGATTAGAAGGGCCGACGCGTCAATCTTTTTCATGTCTACGATTGCACCAAAAAAAAAAAGTCCTTTTTTTTTAATTAAAAACATATAGTCTAAAGAGAAGGCTTTGGCACAAACAAGGATGGGGAATCAGACCTCCAAGATGTTAAGAAATACAATCAGATGCTGAACGTGAAATAGAAAACTGATGTCGGCTCTCTTTAAAATCCATGTAAAGTTCTCCTGGCTCTTTGATTCACTCTTGAGCAGGGCCTAGAAGCCGGATGGATAAGAAAGCCTCTGACATCTGGGCCTGAGGGTCCTGGAGGCACTGCTGAGCTCGCCCCAGACTCTGCTGTTCCATCTGCGTAATGGGCCGGAATGCCGGCTCTGTCTCACTAGCTGAGGGACTGCGTTCCTAAGACGCAGATAATTAATACAGTGCTTACGTTACGAGTAATCGTAGGGACTGAACTAGATCACGTAGCACGCGGTGGCAGGGCGCCTGGCCCGGAGCAGACACTCGGGAGGCCATCATCTAAATTGCAAGCACGCGCGCCAGCCCTGGAGTGCTGCAGAGTGCTGGGTGGACGCCGGGCAGCCAGGAGCGCAAGCCTGTGCGCTCAGGGTGAGATGATCAATTTGAGGCAGCCTCTAATCTCAACACTCGAGCATTTAAAAACAAACCACAGGCCGCCAAGGGATCAGGACGCGATACAGTATTAACACAAGGCGCCTCCCCCGGGAAGAGAGAGGTCCCGGAAGCGCCACTCCTGGGTCTGTGCAGCGTCATCCCCTTTGCACGAACGGAGGCTGAGGCGCAAGACAGTCCCTGGCCCCCGGGAGCATCCCTCAGCAGTCGGCTCTCATAACCAAGTTTAGCATCAGAATGGCGCTAGGCACTGCCCTCCCAGGGAGATGACTTCTCTGTAATTTTATTTTAAATAAAAGATCGGTTAACTCTGTTTACTGCTAAACGAACGAGGCTCAAATACATTCCTCTTCTGGGGAGGGAATAGGCAACCCGAGCACTTTGGCCTCTTGTTTCCCCCCAGACTTTGTCTACCCAGGGCCCCCATCCCGATCCCACCGCTGGAGTTTGAACACTGCGGGGACACTGCGGGTGGAAGAAGCTGGGCTGCCCGCAAAGGACCCTGGGACCACCCGCCCTCTCCCCATTCCTCCGCTCGGCTCTCGCCGCCGGACCCTGGCTCGGGGGCGCCCCCTGCGGGCCGCGGTCGGGACCAGTCCCTCGGAGCGGAGGATTTGGCTGCTTGGACTCTGGAGGGAGGGGCGCCGCGCCAAGGTCCCCGCGGGGACCGGTCCCTCACACTCCCGGACTTCCGGTCTCTGAGCAGCCGGGGCCAGGTCTCCTCGTTTCGAGGGGGGGTGCTTTTAAACTCTCCCCCACCCGGCTTTTTAGGAGAAAACATCTCCAGTTTTAATGTGGCCCAATTATCTCGTTTGTAAGACTTAAAATGTTTCTCTTTAATTCATTTCAATCTAGTAAATATGCTTCAGCAAGTAGCTAATTTCTTAGGGATGGCTTCGCCTCGCTATTTGCATATAAAGCGCGTCGGGGGCGGGCCCCATTTCCCGGTGCGCGGGTCGCAGGCAGCTGGGCCTCCTCCTCAGGGGGAACCCCTGGGTTTGACCCAGGAAGTCGGAGACGCAGGCCCGCGATGGTGCCCGGGGCCCCAGGGGCGGGGGGTGGAGGCAGGGCACCCAGGCTGCGGAAGGGATAGGCTCTGAACACCCCCTCGGCTGGCCCGCCACTGCACCGCTCTGAGGCCCCTCCCCCCACTCATCTCGGGGAGGGGGCGCCCCTTGGTTGTCACATGGGCACCAGGATCGAGGACGCATTTATCCCCAAGTGCGTTTATTAAATCGTGCCTGGAGATAGATGGACGTGGATACAGGGGAGGAAATCGCAGCGCTCAGTTGAGCAATCTTCTGGCTTTAAATTCCAAATAAAAGTCTCAAATATTCTCGGGTCAGGGGGGCACTGTCTCATTAAAACCACTCTCGTCCTGAAACTGCAATGCAGACATTAAAGTGCAGTATTTTTCAATTAGAGCTGACGAATTCAATCAAAATTCCATAGATTAGGATGAAATGAGGCATGGGTCATTTACAGGGGAATTTAATTGCCGAGCCATTAGACAAATAGTATATTTGCCATTCCCGCGTTATCCATCATTTTCGACATCGATACTGGGGCCGCATCTCCCCGTCCCGCAGCCGCCCGGCGTCGGCTGTAAACACTCCCTTCCCCGTGTCTTCTGATTATATCTGATTTCATTTAGGGCCATGGGGGATTATAAATGTTCACGCAATCAAGTTCATTAGGACTTCAAATCGCATTTCTGATTGGGATCGCTCCGCCGCTGTCCTCGGTGCGCCTTTCAAACCCCAGGACGAGGCTTTCAAAAACATCTTTTTGAATTTAAAGCTTCACATCCTTTTGTCTTCCGACATTCCCTCCCGCCTCCCCACCCCCCGCCCCCGGCATAGTGGCCTCGCGCTCCTCTGGCCTCCTTCCCGGGGGAGCAGCCCTGAGCCCCATCGCCCTGAGGGCTGGGCAGGATCCCCGACCCGCATCCGAGGCTCGCCGGGAGAGGGACTTTGCGGGTTGCCGGAGCAGACCTTCCCCCCACCCCCGACCCCCTACACCGCCAGGCCGCGGGGCACTCAGCATCCGGAGGCCTGGGCCGGGCGCGGGGGACAC